GGGAGAGGATGGGGGGCGAAGGATAGAGTAGGAAATGGGAGTAGGCAAGGCTATCACTCTTTTCTTGGGCACTCGGTCATGGAATGAACCTGGGATGAACCTGGAACGGACGTGTAGTGAACGTGCAATGAACCTGGAATGAACCTGGATTGGACCTGGTGCATAATGATCCTGTGTGTTCACCAGAAGGGATCATGGGAATGAATCTTAGAGCGAACCTTAGTATGAATTCATAATGAATTGTAGAATGAAATGAACCCTAAATGAACCTGGAAATGAACATGGAATAAACCTGGCATAAACCTGGCATGGACCTGACATAGACCTGGCATACACCTGGCATAGACCTGGAATGAACCTAGAATGAACCTGGAATAAACTTGGAATAAACATGAATGAACCTTGAATAAACTTGGAATAAACGTTGAATGAACCTGGAATGAACCTGGAATAAACTTGGAATAAACCTTGAATGAACCTTGAATAAACCTGAAATGAACCTGAAATGAAGGTGGAGCTCGGAACAAATGGGCTGATTCAGTAACTTCCTGGAATTGCCGGTAACCAGGAGTTGAGGATGAGCGGCAAGAGGTCTCCGGCAGTGGCAGCGTTCAGAAAACGCCGGGTCACAGAAGAGGTGCCGTAGCATCCATTACAGGTGGAGGGACATGGGCACGGGCTTTGGCAGGAATCAAGCCACGTGGCACTGCGCCCAATCTGGGAACAATTGTACCAAAGCTGCAGGCGGAAGGTTCTGGGAACATTTGCGCATCCCTGGCATATCATGAGGAGAGAAAGGGCATCGCTGAGGTAACACGGCAAGCAGACGAAACCTGCAGCAGCACCGTCTCCCAAGGAATGTTCACTCCAGAGGGAAGGAGACGGAGGGGTAGGGGTGAATTCTTGTATCATAATGATAGAAAAGAGCATGATTGGATGGACAGCGACACACGCGAAGCGAGCAGTGGGGCATCGATGGAGGGAGTGCATTCCTCAGGGAAGCGAAGGAAGAGACGAGAAGTCGGCGAAGAACCAAGCTGGTCTGTGGATGACCCATCGGGAAGAGGGGACTCCAAACGCAACGGGAGAAGCGAGGGAGGGGATTCAGAGGGCAGGAAGAGGAGAGGGAGGGGTGCATTTCTATTCGAAGAAACAACAGCAGGCGAAGTCGTCGAGAATGTCGCCCCCTCGCGAGGCCGCATCGAAGATAGATGGGGGGATGTCGAAGCCGTCTCTGGTAACGGAGAGAGACGGTCTTCGATTGACGGACGCGATGATGGCCGACGAAGCAGAAATGAAGACGAGCCAGTTGTCGTGCGACGTAAGGGGCGGGGCGCATTCACTTACGTATTTGACAAGAGCGAAAATGACAGCTCTCTGAGACGAGAGTCGGCGGAGAGAAGTGATCACGTTCCAAAAAATGAAGACGGCGGCGGGCCAACGACATTGCAAGTAGTCAGCTCTTTTTCTGATGACACCCCCAGAGAGGGAAAGCGGGGGGGGGGAGCAGAGCAAAGCACAGATTTAGGTATTTGGCAGTCGAGGGACAAGTGGAGAAAAGGCGTCACGGATGACAGAGCTGGAGCGGATTGCAAACCAGGGATGGAAGGTACGGCGGGGGGCACGGAGGACGGCGGCGGAAATCGGAGCATCAGAAGACGTGGTCGTGGCATGTTCCGTTACGGTGATGTTACCCTTGCCAGCGAGGAGCCGGAAACAAGACTAGCTGACCAGACTGCGGCGGATGACAACCGTCACGTACGTCAGAGCGGTGGAGAAGCGCTTCCAGAGATGAGAAGTAAGAAGGAAGCAGAGCAGCGTGGTGCCACAGGTGCTGGAACTATGGGTGGGCGGATTGTTGAGGGAAGAGATGGCCGTGGCCTGACGGAAGGAAACCGGGCCTTGCCACATATGGACAAGGACGATGAGGCCGTGGTTGTGCGTGGTGAGGGAGACGAGGAAGAAAGAGAAGAAGGAGAGCTGATCGAAGAAGCGGAAGAGAAAGAAAAGGAGGACGTCTTGGGAGAAGGGAGGGCAAAGCGGGGTGGAGGTAGTAATGCAACAACAGATGCTCAGGGTGAGAAAAAGCGGAGAGCGAAGAGCGAATGGGTGGAAGACGATGAAGAAGAAGTTGAGTTGTTCCATAACTACGACGACCATGACGCCGATTTGTCGAGGATTACAGACCCGTCTGAAGAGAAGTGCAAGGTTAGTATTTTTTTTTCCGGCTATTTGCAGCAAAAAAAGTTGCATCTTCAACAGATTCTACCAACTGACGAATGACTGTGTCTGCAAAACCTGCAGCAAAGCTTTTGGAAGATTGAATTGAGCAAAAGCAGCCAGCTACTTCACGATATCGTGCAAGTTCTCGGGTCTACGAAGAATCTGCTGCAGTCGTGCTAAACAAGAAAACTTGCACGATACTGTGCGGTAGTCTTAAACCAGAAGAACTCGCAGGATATGTAAGCCTGCACACTTCCACTAACTCACTCTTATCCGTCCGACCATTATGCATTATGCAAGCCCTGGGGGGGACAACACACACACACAGAGGCATGCATTACCCAACTGCCCTTCCGACATCTCCTGTGGAAAGCTTGTAGAGCAGGTGGTCAGCTTAACACTAGTTGCATTTTTCGTTATGCCATGCCACTGATTGTTAACTTATATGAAGTTTTATCGTTAACAATTCATTATCGGTAACTGTTTTATAATATAAATAAAAACTAAATATAGGTATTAATGAGAGAGGGGCAGCAAGGCCTTCATTTGCAGGATTTTGCTGAATATTTGCAGCTATTCTTTTCTCTTCTTTTTTTTTTTTGCTGCTCTAGGAGTGTGGAGCTTGTTTATTTGCCTTAAAATAGGAGTGGTAACCAGCGTTATTACTTGCTATTAGTACATACTACATATACTTGCTATATAGTACATACATTTTGTGGACATTTTGTGGACATTTTGTGGACATTGTGTGTGTGTGTGTGTGTGTGTGTGTGTGTGTGTGTGTGTGTGTGTGTGTGTGTGTGAGAGAGAGAGAGAGAGAGAGAGAGAGAGAGAGAGAGAGAGAGAGAGAACGGGAGAGAGAATGAGAGAGAGAGAGAGAGAGATTCAGAGAAGAATATAGATCAGTACCGTTTCTTCATTAGTTGGAGATAAAAAAAGGAGGTGTGTATGTTGGAACACCTTAAAAATTTGCATCTTCTATAAACCCAATGTATCGTGATAAATCTTACTTAGTCTGCTAGAATTTTTATCTATTCCGTACATGCATATGTCTCACTTAGTCTGCTAGAATCTTTATCGATTCCGTACATGCATATCCACCCCTCCCCCCCAAAAAAAAACAGCGTTCTATAGCCTGTATAGCTTAGTCTTGAGTTTGCTATTTGTCGATAGCACAATCCAGACTATAAGCCATAGTGGCTATAGAGAGAGTACGGAGTATGTGGTCTGTTTCCTCCTATTGTTGAAGCTGACTAGATGGAAGTTCTGGATGTCTCTTCAGTTACCCACTCCTTTTCTTTCGTCGTTAGCATTTTTTTTAATCTTTGGTACCTTTCTTTTCATCCACTCCACTTTTTTTTGGGTCGGCTTCTGATGGGAGATGGGGTGCTGTCTGCCAAACAAGAGCGTGCTCCGTACTCTCTCCGGACGCAGAATGGCAAAGACAGACTCTCTTGAGTGGACAAGACAGTGTATAGAGTCAAATAGTAAAGTCAACGATGTGAAGGGTTGGCCGGTTTTTGTTGGCGGCTAACCATGCACGCGTAACATCAATAATAATAATAATAAAAAAAAGAGTGGGAAAATTCGAAAAACTTTCAAAAACCCAGAAAGGGGACAAGAAAGCCGCAGGATACATAAATAATCACAAGGTTTTCAATTGTCGTTTTCCTCTCCCCC